TTTGAATAAAGTACTATTATAATATGTAAGATTTAATAATTTATTATTAAATAATTTTTTAGATTTTTATTTAAATACATTTTTTTGTAAATTTTTATAAATATAATTATTATAATGTACCCGTACTTTATAAAGCAGACTTTTCATATAAATACAAAGTTATACAGAATACAATAATTAAATTATTAGATGTAATATTATGAACATTTATTCTTTGAAACACTAAAATTGTTGAAGACTTTTAACCTATATTTTATTTTTTATAATAGAATAACTTACTGTATATTCAATTTAATTAGAGTCACTAGGTAACTTTATATTAAATCCAAAACAATATTATTTACTTTATAATAATCATTTTATTGACAATTTAGTTTATTTTAACTTTCCAATACGTATATTTTCACTTTAAATCATTAATACTTAAAAATATATATTAATAAATAAATATAACACAAATAATATAACTAAATAAATAAATAAATTATAGACTCAAGAGATTTATTGGTTAGTTTGTGTCATAACTTTTGTCAATCTCTACTGATTTTTGAAAATATGAATTTTATTATTAATTGTTTTTTAACGACAGACCTAACGTTTACTATTATTGTTCACTACATTGTTATTTATATAGCAATAAAATTTGCAGGTATTTCATATGAGATAATTTTCATTAATCATTTGGTGACCCAGACATTTATTTCATTAAATGTATTATATATTATATATGAAAATTGTTGTTTTCTATATATTTGATATATAAAACATGTTTAGTGTTATATAATATAATGTATTTATACATAAAAATATTTAATTTATTTACACTTTTATGATTCAGTAATGAAATATATACTAATAGTGTATAGCATTCACCACATTATGATTACTTAGGGATTCACTCAATTAATGAAACAATTGAAGCGCAATGGCTTTGCATTGGAAAGGAATTACCTTTCATTGTGATAGTCATAGAGTAGAGTGTACTGTAGTTATAGTTTGGCAAATAGACTATACTATGATTTGTTTCCAACAAAATATTATCAACGCTTCACTGTCCGTACAATACATGCAATTGTGATCAGGAGAGAGGACTGTAATGTTGAGTACAGGAGCGCACAGTTATATCACTTGATTCTGTATTAAAGCCTAACATATCTATTACTGTTTCTATGACTATCACTGTATCACTCGCTTAGACTCACTTAACGCTGAGTCCGGATTCCGAACCATACATACCGTGCTCTACATGCTGTACATACAGTGCCGCATTCAATGCACTTACGCTACTCCACTGTATATCTATAGATAGCTATTCTCTAACCATTATCTGCTTTCTATACAATGAATTAGTTTTCCTGACTTTAATCCCTAAAACATGACTAAACTTTGTACAACTTTGTAGTGCACGACCGCAATGTATATCTCGTGTTAATCCAACCGAAATCGCCCAAAACATCATTTTCTTTCCCCAAACCCTATAAATTCTAACAAATTATAACAATTATGTCTATTAATGATCCAAATTATCATCAAAATAATTAATTTTATTTGTTAGACATTTTGAATTAATTTTATGTCAGTTATTTAAATGTTGTCAACAGTTTTTATTATTATTATTATCAAAAAACTTTAAGTTCTTTCGCAAAGTAATTAAATACAAGCAAAAAGTGTATCGACTTTTTCACAGATTAGAGAAGTGAGCGAATGGCCGACAAAGGAGTCGACAAAATGTTGATTCGTGTGCTTTAAATATTTAGAGAGATTCTTATGACACAAAAAATGGTTTTGTTGATTGAATTTTGTTTAGCAGATAATAGTGTCAACGCCTTAGCGATGGCTATAATAGCGGTTATATTGGACTCAAATCTCTTATGAAATATGGTATTAGAATACTATAGATGTGTAGTTCGTGTGGAGGATAGGGAGATAGGGATAGGGAAGAGAGAGAGGACAGGCAGACACTGTGTGAGCCATTGAGGCACAGGTGCGGCCAATTGTTGGGCTCCTATTATTGAAGACATAAGCGAACTCCAAAGCTGTGACACCAGAGTATATATGACTCTAAACTACATCTTTAATTGTTTATTGCTTTTCAACAGTTCTTTGCTATAAATGTGATTCACAAGTATAGAGAGTTTGGCTTAGTTTTGATGGAATATTACTATTATTATGATTGCAGTCTTAGTGAATATACAGGTTATAGTCGACTCACTTTCCGCTTCGTTACATATAAGCGAATTTCGTGAAGCGAATCAACATTTATTCACAACAGCCCTGGGATGCAATGCAGGCCTTCCCTTCTCTTCCCTTTTCTTCTATTGAATAATACATTCAACTAGTCTTCCACTACCAGTCCTTCTCCACACTGAACTCACTTTTTTTATTTATATTATCTGATGTATGCACTAATTTTATGACAAAATCGAGTAAATCTACTTCAGCCGTGAGATCTTTTTATTTGTTTCGATGCAAATGATGATTGTGTTAGTCTTTGACTTCAGTATTACTGTGTATTCAATGCTACTAATGCTACCAGTCTTACACTACACCACTCTTACATAACTCATAAAGCATTATATTCTATACTTTAACAATATATACAATAACCAAATCAAATGAAATTATGCTAATGTTTTGATTAACTTCTTTATAACTTATTTTACATCTAATATTATTAGTCCCTGTTTTTCAAAGTAATGTTATTATGAGTGCACACAAATAGAACCGTAATATTCTGTGGACTTGTGATGAGTGTGTAAATTATTTCAAACTCATTTGTCACTTATTTAATTTGCAATTTGGTTTAATTAAAAAATATTCTTATTCAGATCATTGCTTTGTATTCACTTATCTTAATTAATTTTAATCTTAGCTTATAATTATGTCTAAAATCAAATAAATAAAGTAATGTTCATGCAATCATATATTACAAAATCATAAAAATTATAAAATAGTAGATTCAATTTATGGTTTAAAACAATATAACTGAACAGAATTCAAATATTTATTACATTATTAAAAAATCCGTTTAATGCATAAACAAAAATTGAACCTAGTATCAATTCTCATTTGTACTGAGTATTCATTTAAGAAATACATTTGTTCTTGATGGTACAAATAAGAATAGTTTGAGTACTTTAGTGATAAAATCCTATTAATGATAAAAATTCTCAATCACTTCTCTTAACTATCTTTGCGGCATACTTTATAACTTATTTTACATCTAATATTATTAGTCCCTGTTTTTCAAAGTAATGTTATTATGAGTGCACACAAATAGAACCGTAATATTCTGTGGACTTGTGATGAGTGTGTAAATTATTTCAAACTGATTTGTCACTTATTTAATTTGCAATTTGGTTTAATTAAAAAATATTCTTATTGAGATCATTGCTTTGTATTCACTTATCTTAATTAATTTTAATCTTAGTTTATAATTATGTCTAGAATCAAATAAATAAAGTAATGTTCATGCAATCATATATTACAAAATCATAAAAATGATAAAATAGTAGATTTTATGGTTTAAAACAATATAACTGAACAGAATTCAAATATTTATTACATTATTAAAAAATCCGTTTAATGCATAAACAAAAATTGAACCCAGTATCAATTCTCATTTGTATTGAGTATTCATTTAAGAAATACATTTGTTCTTGATGGTACAAATAAGAATAGTTTGAGTACTTTAGTGATAAAATCCTATTAATGATAAAAATTCTCAATCACTTCTCTTAACTATCTTTGCGGCATTTAAATGACACATTTTTAATAATGTTAATGAAATTTGAGTGCAACACAGTAGATGTTGAATTTTACACAATGTTGAAACTTGTGTTTTACATTATGATAACTATTTGATCGTATAATTACGAAATAATTCAATATTTTTAGATTACTGAAATTTTGTGCCTGTTGTAGATCTAGTATAATATGATATCTTAAAACAAACTTACCTGTTTCAAAGCTTTCACTTCATATATTATTGAATTTATTTAAAATTTTATACTTATAATTAGTTATATGTTAAGTTAAAAACTTCAAAAGCAATTAATTAATTTAAAAAACAAAAAAGTTTTATTTAATGTTTTTATAGAGATAATAATTATTTTAATGAATTGAGTTGTATTTAAATGAATTGATTAGAAATATGAGTGGAGTACAGAGTATAGCATAGTATAGCATAGCATAGTATAGTATAGCATAGTTTGCTTTGCGTTTGTGAGGCAATCATAGCAGTGATAGTCTAGTAATGATTGGTGTTATGTATGATATGGTAGTGTATATAGAGTTAGTTTGCAGTGAAGTGTTATGTGAGGCGAGACTGTAATGAATGTCTGGTCTATGAGTCGATTAATAAGATCTCAAACTTTTATATTATGTATCGGTAGAGGAAAATGGCTTTTATTCTGCGATCACTTTTCACTGCATTAGTTGATTAACATCTAAAAGCATTTCATTAAGCAATGCAAACGACTTAATTGAAAAAAAGTTGATCCTCTCAAACATTTTTTGTCTCTCGTGTTGTGTACCGTATGTTTGGTGTACTCTAACAGCGCATTGCATACAAACCTAACACTAAAACAGTGTTCACAGTCTTGTTATGTGTTTACTTTTGATTCCCATTACTGTCTATGCCTTACAATCCCTACCAAAATGAATAGAATTTCATTTTGAAAGCAAACACTTGTTTTTTAAAACCCTGTAATAGTTTTCATCTAATCTTTTATAAGTTATAAAATTATAAACTTTTTTTTCTGAAGACTTGTTCACAATTTCCTGAATCAATAACCTTAGGCTGAAAGTGATTGAGAAGTGATTTGGTGTTGATTTGAGGGTACATTAGATAACATACATGAATAAAAACTGAATAATAAGTTTCCTTTTATTCGTTTTTCAAAATTGAAATAAAAAATATTTTCATTGTATTTGATGTGAAAATAAATCTCTGATAAAAATTCTAAGAATTATAAGTTTTATTATAATATGGACTATATTTAGAGGCTGTCGTCCCTCTTATCTCTAACATCTCCGTCATGTGTGACAGCGTCTGATAATAAGCCCCAAAGAGACCATTATTTGGATACAACCATACCATACCTCATAAACATCGGCTAATAAGCAAATAAGTGTCACATAAGTTAGTTATTTCATTATTAGGATATCATATGCCATACAAATGTCTCACCAATTCTATTGATACTACTTTTCGGCCCACAAAATGCTTATTAATTTATTTGTACTATAAATTGAGACCTAAACGAGAGGCACATCCAGTGTATTGTAGTACTGGCCCACACTCTCACTGTTTGTAACAATGAATCTTTTTAATATCCATTTGTCCCTATTATGCATTCAATTTTTATTTTATATCAATATATGAATATTGAAATTTTATTACTCCTCTAATATTGAAAGCTATTCAACCGAACGACAACTTCTATACAAGTGAGGCGTCCGTCCCTTCAATGCATATATAATACATTTTACAATACAGTCAAACATTGCTGAAACTCAATACAAATATAATTTGTTTTCATCTGATTTTTCACTTTACAATTACTTTCTCTCTCTCTCTCTCTCTCTCACTCACTCACTCACTCACACTCTCTGAAGTCCATTGTATAACAGCTGCTATTCATTTATAATGACCGTAAGAGTAAAGAGTAATAATATTATCGCCCAATCACTGACACAGTATAGGAAAGAGTGTTGAGAAAGTAATCAAACAATGTCTCCAATCAATTACCTAATGATTTCTTTGATATCAATTATACGTTTTGTACATTTGTGTGGAAGTTCTTATAATAAAATGTCTTACACTATGGTTACTGTAATGATAACTTAATCAAGAAAATATTCAAAAATCTAAATTCTTATTATTCCATAACTATATTTTCCTAAGCTATTAAATATTTTGCTTAACATTTTAATTAAAAATTTTCTACAAAAATTTACATTATGTGCCTATGATAATCGCTAACGGTATTAATTTTATATAAAAAAATTATGTGGAAATATAATAAAAGCTGGTAAAAATTATATTAAATTAATGAATATAGTTATGATAGAAATGAAAAACTTAAATCTTTAAAAGTGTCTTACTAGTAATATTGATTTTATAAATCTAATATTAAACGAATGATTGTACATTTTTGAAAATATTGACATCAATGGAAAATAAGTCACTTATGAAAGTTACGGGTTAGAGGGTTTCCGTTAAGCACAAACTCATGTTAATGTAAACTCTTGGATCTCATATTTACGTTAGTGACTGACTGTATAATACACAGTGTATATTGTAAGTTAGATCACTTCAAACAAACATGTCAAACATTCTAGAGTATTGCAATTCATAATTACAACCATATATACAATATAAGTATTGTTTTCAACCAAAGCGAAAAGATTTCTAACTTGTAAAAACGTCTCGAGCGTGTATAAACCCCAATTTAGTTTGCCTTAATGAATAGTTCACTAACTGTTTAATCGTTACGAGCAATGAAATACTGTAAACTCTATAATAAACTTACTAACAATAGCAATTACCATGCTAGTTTAGATTCTAAGCTTTACAGTAGAATACTTACGGTATATGTTACACAATAATCTAAAAGTTTATTTTAAAAATTCTTAAAATTTTTATTAAAATGTAACGTTATTTAAGAATATTTAATCCCAATAACAATCAAAACGACTAATAATGATATCAAAACCATTGAAGACCTCTGTTTGCTTATCATTGACGTGAAGGCACTAAACAAAGAGTTCAATAATTTTAATGGTATTTTAGAAATGAAAATATTTTGGTGTTTCATTTGATTACTTATTTGGTTGCATATTGTGTTGAATGCGTTTCTTGCAATATACGAGAATATGTGAGACATTAATCATATCGTCATTAGTGACCACATAATAAGCGTTAGGAACACCATTGGAGTCTATGAGACAATGAGACAACTGTTTAATAACTACTACAGTAATCCTGAGTCTATTAGAAGTGTGAAAATAATAGAAAAGATAACAACTTTGAGCTATAATTTCCGGATGTCTGACCACTTCCGCGACGACTACACAACTGATCTCTTTGCCGAGCGATGACTTGTTCCACCCTCGGCCGAATGGACTGAACTCAATGGCAACGCTTAGTTGTGAACTCATGTAAGTTCCCGAACCGTAAAGGGCTCTCTATAGCCATA